TCCCCATCCCGGGGCTCCTGGGGGAATTGGAGGGGCCAGCGCGGGAAGGGTGACCCCACTGTGTCCTGTGTCCCCCCCCACCTCCCACAGACCAGCCCCCCATCACCATCACGGCATCCGTCGGCGAGGACGCCTGCCTGCCCTGCGGCACCCAGCCCTGGGGACGCCTGCGTGGAGTCACCCTCACCTGCACCCAGCAGGCTGGCGCCCACCACCCTGTCCCCGTCCTCAGCCACCGCCTGGGCTGGCACCCACCGCCGGAGCCGGGCTGGCACCCGCCGGAGGAGCCGAACAGCAGGTTTAGGGGCAGAGTCGCCTTCTGTGCCATGGAGCCGGGGGATGCCGGCGTGTCCCTGCTGCTGAGGAACATCAGCGATCCCGATTTTGGGAATTATTCCTGCTACGTGGCTGGTGACACCGACACCGCCCCACAGCTCCTTTGCAGCCTGGTGCTGCAGCCCGCCGTGGCAGGTGAGCGGGGTCGTGCTGGGGGGACGGGTGGTGGGTGCGTGGGTGACACCACCCAGTTTGGGGTCCCCCCCATTCCATCACCTGCTCCATCACCGGGACCAGCCCCTCTCCCCATCTAGGTGGTGCCTGGTGCCCCTTGCTCTGCACCCCCTGGCACTTTTGGGGGTTCCCCCCAGCCTGGCGCACGAGGCAGGAAACATCATTGGGGGGGGGGGCCGGCTCCTGTTCCCACATCTCCATGTCGCTCCGCAGAGGTCCCAAAAAATGCCGAGCCGGATATGATCATGATGGTGTGCATCCTCACCGCCGCCTTCGCTGTGGTGGCCATTGGGATCCTGGTCGGCTGCCACTGTGGGAGGCGGTGCTGCAGGGGCCGAGGTGGGTGCTGCGGGTTGGGGGGGTCCATCTGGTGACTGACCCCCCTAATTCGGCTGGGAATAGGGGCTTCTGATTGGGGACAGGTTTTCTGGTCTGCTCCTGGCTCCTTTTTGAAGCTGGAGTTGGGATGGGGATGGGAATGAGGATGGGATGAGGATGGGATGAGGATGAAGATGGGGATGAGGATGGGAACGGGATGAGGATGGCATGAGCATGAAGATGAGGATGGAATGAGGATGAGGATGGGGACAGAGATGGGAATGGGATGAGGGTGGAGACAGAGACAAGGATGGAGAGGGGGATGAGGATGGGAACGGGATGAGGATGGCATGAGCATGAACATGAGGATGGAATGAGGATGAGGATGGGGACAGAGATGGGAATGAGATGAGGGTGGGGACAAGGATGGAGAGGGGGATGAGGATGAGGATGAGGATAAGGATGAGGACAGGGACGGGAGCTGCTCTGTGTGGGGACATCAGGGCGCTGCTCCTTGCCCTGTGGGGCGCAGCTGGGCTGGGGTGCCCATGGGTGGCAGAGGGGGGTCCCGCAGCCCCTGCTCACTGTCACCCATCACCCTCGGTGCGGGGTCCAGCCCAGGAGGCCGGAGCTGCAGCTGGAGGAGGAGGAGGAACAACGGTGGCCTTGGGTGACCTGAAAGGTCTCGGTGCCTGAGGGCACCCACAGCCCCACAGAGGATCCGTGCGTGACCCCGGTGCAGGATGCGGCCCTGGTTCCACAGAACGGGGGGGTCT